CCCGCCCCGGCGCGGGCCCCAGCCGCTGCGAGAAAGGTGGGGAGCACAGCGGCGGCGAGGGCCGGGGCACAGCCGATGTCTCCCCGGGTGTGACGCCATGGGGGAGGCGAGAGCTCCATGGGGACACTGCCCAGCCCCTGTCCCTTTGGGGGCAGGCCTGGGGAGCTGGGGAGGGGACGCAGGAGTCCTGCCCCCACCGCGATGGGGAGCTGCTCCCTGCATCCCTCCCTGGGGTGCTGGGGGGCCGGTCCCCCTCGCTGTCCCCACCGTCCCTGTCTCCCCACAGACACGGAGGGCTGCGACCACAACTGGCACAAGTTCCAGGGTCACTGTTACCGCTACTTCGCCCGCCGGCGCTCCTGGGAGGACGCAGAGCGGGACTGCCGCCGCCGCGCCGGCCACCTCACCAGCATCCACTCGCAGGAGGAGCATGGCTTCATCAACGGTGCGGGGCGGGGGGATAACGTCCCATCCCGCAGCTCTCCGAGCATCAGCACCCCTGGGTGCCCTTTGCCTTCACCATGCGAGACGTGGGTGCCTCTCTCCGTAGGCTTCGGGCACGAGAACACCTGGATCGGGCTCAATGACAGGATCGTGGAGCAGGACTTCCAGTGGACCGACAACACCGGCTTGGTGAGACCCTTGGAGGTGGCTCCCCGCGGGTGGGGGGCTCCGGGCACAGGGCATGGCGGGGCGCAGGGGCTCTCACCCTCTCTCGTGTCCCGCCAGCAATACGAGAACTGGCGGGAGAACCAACCCGACAACTTCTTTGCGGGCGGCGAGGACTGCGTGGTGCTGGTGTCCCACGAGATCGGCAAGTGGAACGACGTGCCCTGCAACTACAACCTGCCCTACATCTGCAAGAAAGGCACAGGTACCGCCTGCCCGGCATCCCTACCCCGGCATCCCCATCCCGCAGCCCCCAGTATCCCCATCCCACAGCCCCCAGGCACCTCCTCACCCTCAGGAAACCTATCCCAGCCCTTTGTCTAGGAAAACTCGAGCAGTTCCCCATAATCTCCGTTTTTCCTTTTTTTCCCCACAGTCAATTCTTCCCTCTCCACTTTAATTTGTTTAATTTGCTGCCATTAAAACTATTAAGTTCTCATTCCTTATCTTGAAAGTTATATTAACCTCCAGCTGCTCGTTGCGAGCCGGAGAAGCACGCCGCTCTCTCCCGCCGGCCGCGCGTTAATGATGCGCTCGCCCCGATAAGGCCATTAATTAACGAAGTAAATCCTGGGGAACACCTCGCTGCCAACCTGTCAGAGGAGCCCCTCGTAAAGCCATCCACCGCCGCTCCGGCTCGCCGAGAGAACCGGTGGCAGCGGCAGGGTGTCCCCTTGTCCCCTCCTGGTGACGGGGGTCTGTGTGCCCCCCAGTGCTGTGCGGACCCCCGCCGGAGGTGGCGAACGCCTTCACCGTGGGGAAGAAGAAGGAAAAGTACAGCATCCACTCCAGCGTGCGCTACCAGTGCGAGGAGGGCTTCACCCAGCGCCACGTGCCCACCATCAAGTGCCACAGCACCGGCAAGTGGGACCGGCCCAAAATCCTCTGCACAAAACGTTAGTGGGGATGGGGGGTCCCGGGGCAGGGGGGTGTCAAGGCACCGGCTCCCTCCCGGGGGCCACGGTCCCTGACCCCCCCGGGTCCCCTCCCTTGCCCCCGCTAGCCCGGCGGGCGCCCCCCGCGCGGCGGCCACC